TAACTGTGTAGTCGATAAAATGTCAGAAATACAGAAGAAAAACACTACTTTTCTGCCAATCAACTAATGACTAATAATTTTAGCAAAAACAGGACTATGAGTCTAGTACATGTATTTAGGCTTTAAAAGAACTAGAGGATACAGATAAATAATGTAATTCATAGATAGCAATAGCCAATCTTTAGCTTGCTTTACATACATTATTTAAATTGTTATATACATTTAATATGCACAACAACTCAAATGTGATTGTGCTATATATGAATAATTATCCTATTCTACTTATCTTTTTAAATATATACTGAGTAATGCAGTCTAATATAACAGTGCTGCAATAAATTCACCTTTAATGAAGGTTATAGGCTAATTTCCAGAGGTCTTGATTCAACTGCGTAGTCATTTTGGAGGAAATTGAAGGCTGTTAAATTGTATTGGGTTCTAATAACAAGAGGTGTTTCTAATATTTAGTGTGATATCAGTCTCAGAATAATGCAACACAAATCAACAGCAGCCCGAACTGCAGCCTTCAAAATGACTATGACAATATTATTATTGAATGGCCTGATACAAAAACTAGTTATTTATTCATATAGTAGCGCAACCGATGAAATACTGCAGCTTGTCAGTATGCTAAACAATTCACTATTTCACCATTTTCATGCTCAGTATGGTTAACATACATCAAATCCAGTACGGAACATACATCAATAAAGGCTTTAGTATTTCTTCAATGTGAATCATGCCAGTGAGAAGAATGCTTTGAAACTGGCTTTAGAAAATTAAATAGGAAATTCTGTTCTGATAAGTCGATCCTGGGTAAGTGAAGTCATTCCCTGTGTGTTTGTAAAACCCTGGCTACAGCCCTGCTACTAGCATATTAGTTTTGTTTCTTTATAAATTAGGCAAAGTTGTGAAAAAACAGACTTGGTGACAGAGACAGCAGTGAGTCCAGTACGGTGTGACAGAGGGGTCGAGGAGGTGAAGCTGTGAAACCAGTGACCCATTTTGTCTCCCTGGTGGCAGGACAGCCTTTGTGGTGACAAGCGAATGAACACATGCTAACAACCGGATAATAATGATTGCTATGACTGTAGGGGGCAAAACAGCTGAATTAAAGTTTGATTTCAACCGAAACATAAAAGCAAGGAAGCATGATGCAGTAAGCTGTAAAACATTTTTTGCTGAGCTGCATGATGAGGCACCAAATAAGCAAATAAAACCACACAGGCCCTGGCGATAATCTGTTATACTGACATGCACAGTGAGGGCAGGACAGAGCCCGGACAGGCTGAGGTCTGAGGCTGAAAAGCAGCAGAGCTGCTGCTGTATGTGGACTGACCACTGGCTGCTGCTTGTCGTAAACAACTTGCAGAGAACAATGGGCAGGGTTGGGTTTACTTTATCCGATTAAAAAAAATATGCAGGTATCTTTTTGCAAACCGAGAACCTCTTCAGACCACACAGGAAACTCACATAAAACCACAATGACATGTTTAAAGTATCAACGTCTACTAAATCCATCACCGGGTCTTTCCAAAAAACAAGTCAGTCCCACCGCCGAGAGCTAACGTTAGCAGGGAGCAGCGACTCGCACTCGGTCGGGGATTCATCTTGCCTGTCAGCCGAGTTCAATCGGCGGAGAAGAAGGCGGAACAGCCACAGTTTACTAAAACAAGTCGTATGCGTTGAGATTCGCTGTAAGAAAAATACATAAGATATAAAAAATCGGAGCTGTTTACCTGTTAGAGTAGCTGCACTCCACAGGGCGCCGCCATCTTGAACACCTCACAGCCCATCCCACCGCAGTCAGCCTCCGCTATCGGGTTGCATGCAAACTAATCCCACAAGTTAGCGCCCCGCAAGTCGGAACCGCAACTTTCACAAACCATTCACACAAACCACATTTAAAATACTTTTACGTAATCACATCACATAAATCAAAATTAGTATTTTCATCTGTATCCCGACAAATTATTCGCTCTATTGCAAAGCTAAGATTGTTTATCACATCGCCCCATTGGTGGAAGGACGAAGTGTGTGTAATGCGGTTTCGCGTGACCCACTGCGAAGAGCGCACGCGCAAATTAGATTTTGGTAATGGGGGTGTGTATGGAGGCTCATTTCCACCAGAAAAAAAGTAAACGGCTGAAAAGTTAGGAATTATGTTATGAGTTAGGAAATTTGAAATGAATGGTAGGGTAAAACAATGAGATATTAAATAAACATAGATATATCAAAATGTTCACTTTTAAAGTCAAAATGATTGGAAACTAATTCAACTACTTCTTTTCATTTAATTTTTTTTTATTATTTTAAATCCATTTTAACTTAGATACCCTCATAATTTTAAGTGAACAAATTGCAAAAAGTAAAAATTTGGACGTAAATAATATATGTTGACCTAAAAAGTAGTTATTATGACTCAGTTTAAATTCACATAAAAAGTCAAAATTGCAACTATCTCAGAATCATGACTTAGCCTACGGTGAATAGTTTTATTTATTTTTGCCATTCCTAACATGGCGTACATTTTTTTTTTGTTCCTGGCCGAAAAGCACTTACTACACTAGCTTATAAATGTTAAAGCAGATGTGTTTGTTTTGATTTGTAATGGTTTTGTGTCATTGACAAAATACCTGTGGTCTCTTTCAAGAAAAATTATTATGATTAAGCTGCTGTCCTGACAATATGTAATTGAGCAGGGATAATTAGTTTTGGCTTAATCAGTTACATTTTGTTTTTGTTGATCTGCTAATGGATGAAAATTCAACATAAATCAGTAGCACTTTACATCACAGCTCGGTAATAACATGGTAATAGTGGAGTAATAGTTTGATAATAAAGAGGTAATAATTAGGTAATACCGTGTTACCAAAGTAATAACCAGATAATAGCTTTGTATTAACAATGGGAATGTCTGTGTAATATAAGACAAAAAATTATGTAATGGTGACAAGGGGGCAAAAGCAAGGATAATAATAGAGAAACACAGAACAGCAATGAGGCAAAACTATTTAGTAATATTTTGGAAACAATATGGTAACCTAACAATCAAATGATTAAATAGCTTGGTGTTTTTACAGTATTATGGGCTACTATCAGCATAAAACCATATTATATTATTTTATATGTTATTACATATTGTACTATAAATTATTTCCATATTATAATGCTGAAATGCATGCTTTTTGTTTCAACAATGTACAAATAAGATTTAATGCTGTAACTTGTTACCTGGAAACACCTGCGATAGTTACAGTGTAATAACCATGAATCAGTGCGGAAAAATGCTAAACTACCCGTTTCTTTATAATTTCATGGTAATACTCTCTATTGTGGCGTATATCCGTTTTACAAAATGCGTGTCTATTTCCTTCCTGTCAACTCTACAGTAACATTACCTTCATCTCCAAATTCTAACCATTGTTAATACAAAGCTATTACCTGGTTATTACTTTGGTAAATACATTGAATGACTTAATTATGGCCTCTTTAATATCAAGCTATTAACCCACTATTACAACGTTATTATGAAGCTGTAATGTAAAGTGCTACCCAGAAAGGTTTACTTACAAAGTTAACATCATGTGAGCGAAAAGGAAAATTAGAGTTCCAAAAGTAGTGTAAACTGTACACTGAGGTCACTTGCTGTCGTACAGTTAAAAATAAACCATATAGTTGTATAGATATATTAGATTAGATTAGATTCAACTTAATTGTCATTGCACACATGCCAGTCCAATGAAATGCAGTTTAGAGTGTGATGCATGTTTAACGGGGACTATAGGGGACTTTCTTTTTTGTATCCCGTATCTGTATAAATCAGTAAATTAGTTTATTCTAAACCCACTGTAAATAGCACACACTACAGGGTGGGTTGTCTTTTACAGCAACTCTTGCCACAGAAAAATAGGTATAACAAAAGCAAATAGAATCACAAACAGTACAGAATAATACATGCAACAATGTCAACTCCATTTCAGCACGCTTTGGTCAGTGTGTGTGTGTGTTTATACATCCCTGTTTCAGGCTGGCAGCTTCCTTCTATGGCTCCATAACAAGACTCTTCATTGGTTCATAATAACATAAGTAATCATATTATATATAGGCCTATACATTGGCCGATGGGCTAGGCCTGTATGAATCTTTTATCAATGTCCTAGAAAATTTTGAAGCCCTCAAGTGTAGGCTAAATATTTAAGAAACACTCTGTCCACAAGATGTCGCACTTTTACTTCTTCTCTCGCATAAATCCTCTTCTCCTCCTCAAACAGCTGCGGGACGTCATTTTCTGAAATCTATTTCCCCAAAATGTAGGCTATTTAACTGACCAATTTTGTCATTTCGCGGGCTATCTTGTCATTCTGCCTACACGTATGACACTAAAGCATCCTGAAATCTGTCTTCATGCCTGAAAACCGATATGCTTTAATAAATACAGAGAGAGTCAGCAGTGTTTATCTCCCAGACTGGTTTGGTGTGTGTTTTGGTGTGTGATGTGGAGGTGCAAGCCTACAGTCTCATGATCTTTTAGCCAGTTAAATCTTGCACACAACACACTCATACATACAGCATTACTTCATTAAATCCTGTAAATCAATCATTGTGAGGTAGAAATAGGCTAAATGCTCAGTTTATTAAAGTAAAATTAGCCTATATACTGTGCTTTTTACGTTTGTTTTTATTTAAACGTGTGCTTGTTTTTAATTTATATGTCTTTCTAAGATCAGCGCAAATTTGGGGTTGAATTCAACTTAATTATTCTTTGATTCAGGCACCGAAATACTCCGCTTGAAAAGTAGCCTATATTTCTAAACTAAAATGTTAGTCTTCAACCCTAACTTTTTTTTGCTTCTCTCGAAGCACTGGGAATTTTTGAGCCTGTAACTGTTCCAGGAACAGCAAAGGCCCTGTGTTTTTCTACGCAAATGTCTACCTGCAGGTTGGCCTTTCATTGGTTGAAACCACAGTCAGATTCCGCTGCGGAATTATCTGATTGAAAATCAGGGAGGGGAGAAAAATAAAGAGCAACAAGTGTGATGGTTTTACACTGCTTTGCTTTTCTGACATTTAGGAAAGGATTTTGCGACGCATTTTCCTCCGCTGAGCCGCTTCACATCCAAAGAACGAGGAAATTAGGCTTTTATTATTACTGCACGTTTGATTCCGACGGGAACCTGTCCAGCTAACGGTGAGTGGGCCTCCATGCAGACTGCGCAGCGAGAGTGAAACTTTTGCCGACTTTTATGACTTTTTCCCACAAATAATAGAATAATGCAAACAGTGAAAATATCTAGCCTAAAATGGTCTAAGTAAACTATATAGCCTATGTCGGCCAATTTGTAGTCTACTCAATTAACGCATGAGTTCAATATGTGGATAGCCTACTTTTTAAACAAGTTAAATTATAACAGAGTAACCCCACTACAATTGAAGACGGAAAGGATGTTGGCTAAATTAAATAGCCTATAAAAGTAGAGACTTACTTAAGAGACTTAAACGCTTGTGGTGACACTTTTGTAATTTGTTTGTTTTTACGAAAATTGACTTCATCGGTATTTTATTCAAACCCATATTCCAAAATACATTTAAAGCGTTTTTTATGTTGCTAACAAAATTTTGTTGGGTGCAGGATCAACATGCCCCGGTCATTTCTGGTGAAAAAGAAAAGGTTCACGTCTAGTAATGTCCATCGATCTTATGAGGACGAGCCGAAGGCCCCCATATGCACAGGTAAGACACTAAAAAAAAGATTAAAAATCTCAATATCTGAGGGGAGCAACGGTTAGGACAATTAAATTGCCACTGTCTACTGTTACTGCCGATGTCGTTTTTTTAAAGCAGCTGCTGTTTTTTAAACAATTGCGTGACTTTCTATATTTTAGGCAGATTTTAAAAAGGATATGCATTAATCATCAGTCTCCAGCATTTCAAATAGCCTGCTGAATAGAATAAATCCTATTTAAACAAGATCTCCTCCAAGAGGAACTGTATGGTTTTGTTATTATAGCAAGCTGTATTTACCTTCTGTCTAATCACACAGAGCAATGAATCTTGCTCATATGAATCACACTTTTATTTGTTGTGGATCTGTAGAAGTCCCACCAGAAGTTCAGAGCACAGACTCTTCAGACAGGCCTCAGTCGGAGGGACAGTCTTCCCCCTCGGACCGCCGCTTGTTGAAAAAGGAAGAAGCAGAGCTTGAATGTCCCATACCCGTTTACCCAGAGCCAACCAGACCCCCTGTCGCTCCCACTCAGCCATACTACCTAAATGGTGACCTGCCAGTGCATTTTTCTCCATCTTTTTCCTGCTACGTCTTCACTTTAACTTTTGAGATATAAACATGATTCATTTTGTGTGTGTGTGTGTGTGTGTGTGTACACCCTCAGAGCCTCACATGGCAGAATACCCTCCTTACTACAAGCCGACGTACGCCTGGGAGTCGGTGCCTTCCTCCTACGAGATCCGTCCAATGAGTTTCAGCCCCACAGTGCTGCACCACGCCAGCAATCTGTACGGCACCCACATCAGCCGCAGTCCACAGCCTCAGCAGCCTCTGGACTGCAGCACGCACTACTCCCCCACCTCCAGCACCTACCACTGCATCACCTGTGATAAGGTATGTTCACAGCACATACTACCATCAGAAAGGTTAAAGTAACTGTAAATTCAGTCTGCGGGATTTTTAGATTTTTGTGCTTCTCATCAAGCCCCTCCGTCAGGGCAAAATTAAAATGTAAATTTGTATTTCAAAGTGATTTCACTGTTTTCACTGTTTGTCAGCCGTCTCGATTACAATGGACTAACTCTGCTTTAGGTGTTCTCGACGCCCCATGGACTGGAGGTTCACGTCAGGAGGTCGCACAGTGGAACGAGACCGTTTGGCTGCAACATCTGCAGAAAAACCTTCGGCCACGCCGTCAGTCTGGAGCAGCACATGAACGTTCACTCTCAGGTATATCAGTGACTTTTAATGCCCTACAACATAAAACATTATAACCTACTTATTAAATATACAATTTAATAGGGCACTCCAGCGATTTAGCATTCTGCTTTCATCAAGTTAGGGGAATTAAGAGCGATAGATACAAAAAAAGGTAAAAAGGAGCAGAGGCAGAGATGTTCAGACTTTTAGTCCCTAGTCTGGGTCAAGTTCCCTCACTTCCCATGAAGCATTGTTTTTGTTAGGCTCCATACCTGGTAAATGGCCACATCTTTCAATCGTGACACCTCCGGTTTGTAACACAGGCTCTATGTTAAAATGTCTTCTCCATGCCCCAGCTGATATTGACTCAGGTGACCTCACAATGACATCTTCAGCGTTACTTTCTGTCTACAGAGATAATTACAGCACATCGTGCTTCTGTTTTCACAGTCTGAGCAGTACTGCTCACAATGAGTAAACCAATCTTGCTGTGTAAAATTGATGAATTGCCTCTTTTAAAAAAATAACAGTTTCCACGCTGCATTAAAATTGGCAGTTGCGAAACCTAGCTCTGAGTTAAGTTCAAAGTTTGTTTTTTCATTCATTCGTTTCCTCATTTAACATGGGAGGATACATTTGATAGGGCTCAGACATTAAGTGCTATCAACAATAATTTAGTCATATGAAAAAATGTTTATGGATTATCAAGTTATATCAAGTTAATTAAAAGATCAGGTGATCTCACAAAATCCCAGAATTAGATTTTCTAGTACATAACAAATAAAAATAAAAATAAATTAATCTCACCATAAGGTGCCTTTAGTAAAGCTTTTGATCATGTCACAGGACAATGAGTTTGTGAAGTTGACATGGCATTGTAGATGTAGAAATTTCAACTTCTCGTTCACATTGGCCACAAAGCTGAGCTTCAAACTCTTACAAAAATAAAAATGGAAATTTCAACAACTCCAACTCCATCTCCTGATGAAGATCATGTGATATGATCAAAAGCACCAGAACAGTTACTAAATGGACCTTGCGGTGAGATTATTTTGTCATCTTGTCTGGCACCCTGCTTTTGTTGACAATTGCGTAACACTGTTTGTACTTCTGTCTCGGATTAGGAAAAAAGCTTTGAGTGCAAGATGTGTGGCAAATCATTCAAGCGCTCCTCCACTCTCTCCACGCACCTGCTCATCCACTCGGACACGAGGCCTTACCCCTGCCAGTACTGCGGCAAGAGATTCCACCAGAAGTCTGATATGAAGAAACACACTTACATTCACACCGGTAAGTCACAGTATATTGTTTTACAGCTGGTCATATTTTTTATTGTACTAAATAAAGACAAATGTAACTGTCTAAGGCTCCTCTTGCTAATCATTTGCTTTCCAGGTGCAGCAGGCAGGAATTGTTTCTAGGAGTAATATAACTACTGATAAATCAGAAAAAGAAACTTAAACAAATGTCCTGTGGATTTGCATATCTGGTGTTCCTGCTTCACGCAGAGCTCTGTAAAAGGAACGACTCTATGCTGTTGAAGTTTGCTGCCAATAAATGTTTAACAAATCTGAACAATGGCATGATTCTTCACCCATAGATACGAATGCAAACTTAATCTTAGAACTTTTTTTGGTATAAATGACAACCCTGATACTCCATAAGCCGTTGAAGGAGAAACTGGAATTCTTTACGCAAATTGTTTGAAAATCATCCAAGATTTGATTGTGTTGATTTCTCACTGTTGCATTTAAATTTTTAGGTGAAAAGCCCCACAAATGCCAAGTGTGTGGTAAAGCGTTCAGCCAAAGCTCCAACCTGATCACCCACAGCAGGAAGCACACAGGCTTCAAACCGTTTGGATGCGACATTTGTTCCAAAGGCTTCCAACGTAAGGTGGATCTGCGCAGGCACCACGAGAGCCAGCATGGTGTGAAGTGAAGACGAGCGCGAGAGCCTGATCTTAACAGCAGCAAGTTTTTGTACATGTACAATACAATTCTGTTAAAACAATAAGCTGATATTGATGTGATGACTATGATGTGTGTAAGGAAGAATGATTGAATAAGGAAGCTGTGAAATCAAGTTCTAATCAAAGGCGATTTAACTTCAGAAAAATGTTACCTGTATTAAGAAGAACTTGAGTAGCTGATTAAATTGTATTAGTTAATATATTGGAAGTAATCTTTTAAAGATGTGTTTGCATGTAGATGAATGGGGAATTGTGCTGATGTCATTTACATTCAAAATGTGCTTTTGGCTTTTGATAACAAAAACATCAAGAGTCTTATAATTTATTTAAAATATGCTTGAGCAATGTACTGTCCGTTGACTGGGGTCTGTGTGTGAGATTATAAACGCTTTCAAATGAAATAAAGGGTGAACCGAGTAAGTCTTTGGCCGTTCTGTTAGAACAAAGCAAAGTGACAATCCTTTGTGCCTCAGAGGGAAAATACATGCACATTGTTTGTCTAAGACGACATGATGAGCACTGTAAACACACTTTTTTGGCTCTTTCTGTGTGTTTTTCTGAGTAACTTTCCTGTCGGAGCAGGATGTAATAACTATATGACTGTGACCTCAGGTGAAAATCTTGTGCAGGGACCAGAGATAATGTGTAATGGAGTAATCCTGTATTCAAATAACACACCTGGAACACCATGCAAATCTAATGCTGGAGAGATATTTATTCCTGCGAGTCGACTAGAAAGCAAATGAAGGAAAGTTAGCCGACGTTAAGTGAGATATTTCCTTCTGTTTGATGCTCAGCAGCTTCCTTGTTAGTACATGAGATGAAATCCAGCTTGATAATCTCAGTGAAAAATCACAATTGAACAAACTAGACTACGGTGAATTTTGGCCACACACCCTTGCATACATCCAGTGTGGCTGCTTGGCCTTTACAGTCCATTGAGTCTAATGGGATCCAGAGTTAATCCCACAGCCTCTTATTAATTAATGGAATGATTACTTAGTCAACTGTCACCACACCCAGCCAGCCTGTTGGATTTACTTCAACAAACAAGCGGTGGCTCTAACGAAGACTCACCACCTTCCTCAAACACCAAACCTGTTAGGACATTAAGCTGCTCGAGGCAAATCAGATCATCACATGGGCCTTTTTAAATCTGACAAGAACTGGCTGAAGTGTAGTCAGAATTTTTAAAACATTGAAAAATAATAATAATAAAAATAAAAAAAAACATTGTTTAAATTAACGTTAGACCAACTTTTCATGTAACATTTTGATGACAACACATTTTTTCAGCTAAATGGATCCATAGTGGGATCAAATCCTCGATCATCAAGATAATATAGAAATGCCAAGGTCATTCCTCCACCAAAAGTGTATTCACCTATGTTGTGTCATGGGGAGTCACTGATGCAGAAATCACTGTCTATACAGGGAAGAGAGGAGACGAGAGGGCTTACTGTCTGGCAAACAAATCTGAGGTCTTTATGCAAAATGTGTGTATATTACCAGGGCAACAGGGTCCGTTGTGATCCTCCACAACAGTTAGACCTGCCACAGCAGCCTCTGCATCCTGGTGTGAGGTGACAGTGCAAATCAAAATCCTGCACAGGGAACCAACAGAAAAGACAGACAGGATCATCTTGGGTGGAACTAAACAAACAGGACATGGGTCCTGAAAGGGGAGGGGCGGTAGCCTGGGGGAAAACAGGAGAAAATGAAGGAAGTATGCAGGTCCACATGCACCTGAAACGTCCCTTCACTGGTGCACAGGTGCATGGGTGGGAAGAACTAAATGGGGAACAGACTTTTCAACACAGATGCAGAAAAAGTAGCAGATAATGACTATGCTGAAGGTGTTTATGTTCTGCCCATGCTCATTTGCATATGTGTGTTGCTTGGGGTGTTGTGGTATCCTTAAACTTGCAAATTTACTTGATTTTCTTTGTAACTGTTTGGCGCTCACTGAGCCTTGCCTGGAAAGTTTTTCCGAAGCTGCGTGAAAAGATACACTGAGTCAACAACAGGACAATATTTGAATATGTTTTTTAAAAAAAACTTTGTCTGCAGTTTGATAAATATCCATAACGTGTCTGCAAGTTACTGCCTGAACAGTGGAGTGACAGCAAATCCTGATACCAGAAACAGAAACCAAATCTGTTCCATCCAGCAAAGTACAACCAACGAAAAAAGGGTCAAACCAGCAGTGTCTCAAAACACAACCAAATGCAGCTCTGTATCTCTGCAAAACACACACACGCACACACACATACCTGGTGAATACATGGAGCACAGAGCTGAAATTTGTCTTGCAAATTGGTTCTATGCAAATAAACCTGGGCCAGTACTGTGGAAACGCTATAGGACGGAAGGACGGCTGAACACGCCTGAGGCACCATAGAAGGCAGAGCGGGAGATCCCCGAGGAGGGCCACTCTCTCCCTGTGAGATCAAAGAAATGTCACAGGAGTCTGAGTCATTATTAACTGTTACGTGATATTTGTCAGTAAATAGACCTTTTATCACAACTTGAATCTCCAACTGACTCTTGTCCTGGTGAGAAATGTTCCACTAAAAAATCACTTACATAGTTGTATAATAACCCAGATTGCAAATAAGCAAATTAGTAGGCTGACAAATCTGTATTAGAGGTGTAACTATAAAAAATTTATAAAAACAGGATCGGACTAACCAGAGCTGCTGTTTATGGTACTTTAACAAAATATTCATGTGCAAAAAAGACTGTGTTTCACAAATTATTTGTTGTGTAATTTTATGTGTACTGTAACTAAAAATATTAGACATAAAAAAAAAAAATAGAAAAACAAACCAACTACGGCATTTGAAAGTATTACCTGAGTGACCTGGAGCATCTGTTAATCAAAAGAAAGATGCTTCAAAATTTTAGTTATTAAGTGAATGGAAAACGTGAATTTAATAATAAATAAAAGCACCAAAATAATTGTGTTGTCCTTGTAAAGTCAGTGTTGAATGACATAAAGCTGCTCCATCATTTTGTTTTTAAAACGGAATAATCCAAATAGAATAATGAACTTCCTCTGTATTTCCTCTGTATGACTGGACGCAGGAAGATACTGTGTGATCACATCCGCTGCTGTCACACAGTGTAGGGGCAGTGTGATACAATTTGATTGCCAGTGACACGGTGCTGTGTCCTGCCCTCCCATAGATAAGTGCCGTGTTGACGTGTACGAAAAAGGCCACGCCTGCAAAGTGTCATACAAGAGTGATGAGAGAGTGACCAACATTTCCTGTGGTTACATTTTCTGGGATTTAATTATCTATTTCAGTAGGCAACACAACGTGGTGCCTTCAAATTACATCCAGCCTGTTATCATTGTATGAAGAGCCCCTACACACCAATGCAGGATAGAGAGAAAAACAACTTGCCAACTTAGAAGATGCTCATGAAAATGTCTTGACATGGTTACAAGTGGGAGTCCTCAGACATAATTTAAAGTTTAGTTTAGTTTCTAAACTGTGATGTTTCATGACCTCTAAACACTTTGTCAACTTTCCCTCAAGCACTGGCGGTCAGTAAAAGGTGACATTTATTCCTCATAAAATGCATTTTATTTTGTTGCAAAATAATAAGTTATCGGCATGCCTGTCTGGCACGCCAATAATATATGTCAGTAGTGGTAAGTGCTGATACTGGTTGGGGCGTCCTTGGTACCCAGCAGACTTGGATGTAAGCCATGTGGAGATTGGTATCCCAGGAACCACATGCCATCCAAAAAATGCCACAGAAATGGACTTTTTCACAAGAGAGACTTGATATATATATATATATATATACATGTACATATATATATATATACATGTACATATATATATATATATATATATATATATATATATATGTACATGTATACTTTTGTTTTTGCCCCCATTCATCGTGAGCTGAACTCAAAGATCTAAGACTTTCTCTATGTACACAAGTGGCCTTTTTCTCTCAAATTTTGTTCACAAATCTGTCAAAATTAGTTAGTTAGTTTGTGAGCACTTCTCCTTTGCCGGGACAATCCATTTGCACAGTTGTGCCTTAGGCTGGCCCCAATAAAAGGCCACTTGAAATATACTGCATATATACACATTTGTTTTTTATTGATTAATAAATAGACAGAAGACCGGTGTAAATGCTTCCTGTCAATGCTGAAAAAATTAAGAGCTTATTTTAAATCATGCAGACCCACTCACCACCGCTTACACTTTGTGAACAACCTGTGGAAACTGTTTTGAGTATCCGGAAACACACATGGATGGAAAAATTTATTTCATGGACAATGTTGATTCTCTATATAAGAAAGTCAGAGACTGGTAAAATGAAAGGGTTTGAAGTCAGTCATAACATCTTGGGAAAAAAAGTGTCAGTCTGATAGACAGTATATTTTAGTCAATAATATCGCTGTCCAGTATGGACCCTTGACATTGACAAACAAAAACAAGCGGGCCAGAATTGAAAAAAAAAGCAGGAAAGATAGGCTGCCAAAGAAAGTCATTGGACGACCTGTACAGCTTGAATGTATGTTGGATTAATGGTTGTATAATTGTTGTGATGCGATGATATTTGCTGTATTGATATAAAGTAATGTTTTTATATAATCTGGTAAGGCCAATGGTGATTTCACAACCTTGGCTAGAAGTTTTACTCTGTTCTAGTCTTCTGTTCTAAATTCCCCCTTAAAATTTGAAGGTTTTATCATTGCGGCAATGGTTCCCAACCTGGGGATAGGGTCACCTCTAATGGGTTCCTAAATAAATCTAAATCTTTGTGAGATGATAAATGGGATAGAAAGCAAAAAACTAACATTAATGCTACCTAAAATTAGATTTATTTCCTCTAACGCTCTGCTGGGTCTTTGTTTTCTTGTTGCGGTCTAGATGTGGCAGTATCGGCCTGTTGGTTGGTCCACCACAGTATCTTAACAACTACTGGGTGGATTGCAAAGACATCTTGTACTGACATTCACGGTCAGAAGAGGATGAATCCTAATAACTTTGGTTATCCCCGTCTTTTCCTCTAGCTACATCATCAGGTCAAATTTTGATTGATCAAATGCCTCTAAAACTAATAATATTCCCATCAGCCTCAGATTGTCAGCCTCAGATTGTCAGCCTCAGATTGTTGCTAGTTAGCTAATGTTTTCATGCTAACATGCTAAACTACGAAGGTGAACTTGGTAAACATTATATCTGCATGACATCAGCATGTTGATGACAGCATTTATCCCAAAGCAACGCTGTGGCTAAGAACTAAGAACAGCTTCACTAAACATAGCATGGCTGTAGACTCTCAGTCTTGTTAACTTAAATATTTACGACTACACACAAGCCAAAAAGGTTACCTTAATGGAGATCTTAACATATTGGGAGTTGCATGTTGCAAATTTAAATGCT